AATCACCTGCATCATAGTTAGTCCACAAACACAAAGAAATCACATGTATGCACTTCAAAAAACAAAGAAGAAAAAAAGCACATTCGTATAAAATTCTTTCTCACCTTTCTGAAGGACTCCAAGAACAAAATAAATGCACAAAAGTTCACAATGTGACATCGTTGCTGCTGCATGTTGCTCACCCGCCAAAGTCAATGAAAATGAAACTAAGAAGGCGCCAAGTGAAGGGGTCATACTAAGAGCAGTAGACAGCTTCATCAACTATGTAGGAACGAATTATCAGACAAATATTGTGGAAATTACTATGAAAATATTTTTTAAAAGTCACATGTTAGATACGACATACAAATCAGCTTTTTACGTGATATAGTGAATGTAAGTAACCCCCTCCCCCCTCTCCTCTCCATAACAATGGTACATTCCACTACCGCGGCCCTTTAAACATGTTTACTGTCTGATCAGTTTGTGGAATAACAGGATTCAAATGATTTTTAAAAAATCCAGAGTACAGCAGACATGATCCTATCTCATGTTAGTTAAAAATAGAAAAGTAAGCAACATTTTATCATTTTACAGTATTTGGTTTAATTTCTAAGCTGAACAGAAGTCAAATTAACAGCTTAGATTCACAATATTAGAAAATATATCATGCCATGACTGTAAAGGGATGCAGTTTTGTATTGTTGAGCATTTAAATACTATTGCAGAGATGTTTTCTCATGACACATTGTGAAAGGTTAGAATATGCATTAAGAGAATCTGTGATAAACAGCTGCCAGAACACTGTGTACATGACAGGTTAAATAGAAACACTATTGTGATCTGTTAAAATGTGTTAAATACATTCATTCATGACATTGGGATTATAACAGATGGAGTGAAGTTAAAAACAGATCAAATTAAAAGTTTCAGACTGGCTAAAGTGGGTTTAAAGAGTTAAACGTGGTAAATAATTGTGTTAGAAGAGGTAAAATGTTTCAAAGAGTACTGCTGAATTCACATTGTGTGTTGTATTGTTGAAGTTATGCCGTGATCATAAGATCTGTGCTCGACACATGCACCTCAATCGGTTACTCTGAGATCGATTGCATTTGTCTCCTTCCGCGACTGTGAGGGCACCAGGTGAACGGGTCTTCCTCAGAGCGGTAGACAAACAGTTTCACAGCAATGTAGGAACAAATTATCGGATAAATATCGTGGAAATTACGATGAGAGTAATATAAAAAGGGCTAATGTTCGATAAACAGTACAAATCATCTTTTTAATGCGATATAATTAGTGTAAGTAGCCTTCTCTCCCCTCTCCTTTCCATAGCAATGGTACATTCCACTACCATTCAACTCCATTGTGAGTTTTCTTCATTACGTTAAAGTGCGTGTTGACAAAACTTCACACTGGATGGCTGCTGTGTTTATTTCTTCCTTTTTTAAACCAGATTTCTGCAGTAACTAAAGGAAGATAAAAACGTTCTGTAAAATCCTAGATATTTTGGAGTTCTCCTTTGCTGTCTGATCACGAAATCATAGTTTCAGCTGCTGGTTATGTGCATAATCACATAATTAGAAACCTCTGTGTTGATTAGTTGGGGGGAAAAAACCCCCAAAATGAATAGTTCCAGACAATGTTTCAAGATAATTTAGTAAAACTTCAAATATGTGTCAAACAAATAAAATAACTCACGACATTAAAACACATTGAACAGCAATAAATAGATGGAAATAAATTATCTGAAATACAGCAACACAGAGATTCATTTCGACTTCACAGAAATTGTGCAGAACCTCAACAGAAGTACCGCACGCCACAGTTTCATGGTCCTCGCTCCACCACAGTCACAACCTATTCCTATTTCATGCTATGTGCAGATGTTCACTGAATATGTTGTGTGCAAGCAATGAAAATGTCCCAAACACACATAAAGTGCAAAACTGCATGTGCAAAATTACCAACACATCAAATAACACGCAGAAGATATATTACTATTTGATATATTATCAATTCAATCAATCACATTGTTGGAGGAATAGTTAGAATTTGCAGGAAAAACAAAATCTATGTTTGTGGCCGAGGTATGAGGTAGCTCTACATTTCTCCCATGAAGACACTAGATGGCAGCACAGTCAGTGACATTAGTGTCTCTTTCACTTTTATTTGCAGTTACACTCACTTTGCTGTGTTGGTAATCCGTTAAATTTGTTCGAAGCAGACTGCTGCTATTGCACTGTGCTGCAGCCACTATAAAGTCAACTGCTTTAAAATGACATCAACACTGTTAATATATATATAGAATTGATATCATATAGACTTTTTGTAAACCATCCAATGCAGTGGTTTCACCTGTAGCTTCCCAGACGCTGGCTCCTGGATCTTCACATTCAACAAAGCCTTAACAAGCATTTTTTACTTTTAGCTCCATACGGTTAAAGTGCTGCAGCTTGTAAGAAATGTGAAAGGACAGATAGTTCTCAGAACACACGACAGCTCTTTATAAACTACCTGCGGAAAATGGATCTTGGATAGCAGCTTTTAGCTTAGTTCGCTTATCGGATGCAACAAAATGCAAGTTTTCAGTAATGCTTTCAAGCTCACAGTGATGAAATAGAAACTCATACGCTTGTTGGTTCGAAAATTTGTTCCTCAGTTACTTTTTTGTGTTTGTTCTTCGACCTGCAAGAAAAAGAAAGAAAGAAGTTCATTATACTGCAATAACAAAACACATTATTCCCAAAAAGGAGAAGTATACGGTCATAAATTTACTGTTAAGCCAAGAAACTACGTGTAAGTAGACAGTAGTTACTTCCCCAGTTAATTTCTTACATCAAAACAATAACTTTGCATTAAAGGTTTTCTTAAATTATGTTTAAAAATGCAAATTAGGTATTATCTAATTGAATGTGCACTAATTTGCCAGAAAAGTAATCTGAACACTTGACAAAACCAGCTTTAAATGTCTTTAGATATCGGTTTTTATCTGTCCTTAAATCAGAAAATACTCAACAAATAGACTAAAATCTGTTGTTTTAAGGACTGAAATGTCTCATAAATCAGGTTGTGGCTGATGTATGAACAAACCCCTCTAAACCCTCAGAACATAGAGAGGAATAAAATATTAATATCCACAAGTGTGACTTAACTGGAAATATCTGGTTGAGTTTAGAGAAAAAAAATCTAACTGAGAACAGCCTGTATAAATATGTATTATGGTTAAAATCCATGCATGCAAACTGAGTAAGTGTAGTAAATGCTAAACATGTATTTCTGGATGTTTTCTTTCCACCAATGTGGAAAAAGCAATCTGAAAATGCCTGGACTGCATGTCTTTGTGTCAAATGTCTTAAACAGGGGAACATTTCTTACTTTTTTCGCATCACTACAGCTGCGACAGCGATGCAGGAAATGAAGACTGCAGCAGTGACGATCAGAGCCACCGCTGACTGAGACAATTGTTCATCTAAAAGGAAAAAGCACATCAATAGGCTGCACAGAAATACAGTAACTTCAACTTCCCTAAAAGAGGAAGACGGGGAATTTTGCAGCTTTCTTTAAAACCCTGACAGCTAATTTCCCTGATGTGATGCATGACCGGCCCAGACAGCTGCTGTAGATCAGCGTGACATGCCCCTACAGTACGACTGATCCGGAAGCGAAACTGAAACCATCAAAATGTGATGAGTCAAAGCCCAGCTGATTCGCAGAACAACACAGTTCAGTGTCCTGATTCATGCAGCAAAGTCATTGAACTCCTTGGACCACTTTACATTTAAAATTTATAAACTTTCCCCCAGTTTTCAGATAAACTAACATCTGATGAGTCACTGATCTACAGCACAAAAGTTCAGGCAGCTCATTATAACAAAAAGCAGCATAAACGGGGAAAATAATGAAATTAATTCAAGTTCGGTCTGACTTATTGTAGCTGATAACCCTCTGAACCCAGAAACTAGAAGGTAAGTGTGTGAAAGGCATGTTTTTGGGGGGTTTTGTAAGTCCGCAAAATTCCACCATTTATCAGTTCGACACTGTAGAAACTTTAACAAAACACAGGTCAGATTTTAAAACTCCTGATTGTCCCTGAATGCATCATGTGTGACATTATCCATCAGGAAAAATAAAGAAAATGGGAACATCCGACTTCACTCTCTGAACCATAAAAGCCAAATTGTCATCTGTGACGGCTGCTCGATCAGAAAATGTCACCAAATATAAGCCGATAGTTCATCAAAAAAAATAAAATAAAAGTCACTGTAGTTTACATGCCTCATTTAAAAACTCTCCCAAACTAATCTGTTTGCTATGACAACATTTTTTTGTTGCATGCAACCACAGAGTCATCAGTGACTCAGCTTCGACTAACAGTCACGTGACAAAGCATTCAGGGACTTTTCAGGATGTGTACAATACAGAATGTGGAACCAAAATTCAAAATGTAAACAGTCATATCATGTAGATTCACCTCTTTTTTTTTTCTCTCTCCCAGTAGTGATAACGCTTGTGGACACTTGGATAAATCCATCTGTTATCTATACACCGCTAGTGTCTTGGGGGGCTGGAGTCTATCCCAGCTGACTCCGGCTGTAGGCATGTTCAGGTGGACAGGTCACCAGTCTATCACAGGGCATGCACAGGGACGCCAGGTCTTAAGAGGTTAGGGTGTGGTGTTCTATTATACCACTTCCTGTCAGTAAACTTTAGTGGATGCTGGGAACAGGATTGTCTCATAGGCAGTTTGACTTTCTGGCAGTCGTAAATTACTGACTGTAAGGAAGCATCATTTGTTGACTCGTGATGTTTTCCCGGAAACTGAACTTCCTCAACACAAAAACAAAACATCAGATCTACGTACCTTTCTCTTCCTCTAACGACAGATGGATCCTCTCCTGCCTCCGGCCCTCCTTCCCATCGTTCAGCACACAGTCCGCATGTCCTCTCCAGTCTTTAGGGACCGTCACTGTGATGTTGCTGCTGCTGGTGAACGTATGGTCACCGTTGGGTACTACGTCAGTGGGTTGGTCGTGGACAATGGCGGCATCGGACGAGAAGTCCCACGTAATGGTTGGAGCTGGTTTACCTATGGCGGAGCACTTGAACACCACCTCCCTGCGGTTCTCCTCGAGTCTGCTGCCGACAGCGTGGCTTGTGTTCACATGCGATATTCCTTTATGGAGGTTAAAAAAAACAAACAAATGTCACAAGTTGCACCTGCAGAACAACGTTAACAATTCTTCCCTTGAATTTGCAGCACTTACCCGTCACCTTGAGGCAGGTCTGTCTCCTTTTGGACCCGTCAGGATACACGTTAAACGAGCAAATGTAGCAGCTCTCATCCGCCCACGACACCTCCTTCAGGGAGATGGATGTGGAGCTGAGGGACGCTTCTGTGAAGATCACTTTCCTCTTGTACGGATCGTTTACCTGCTGTCCAAAGCGCTTGCTGTAGGTTGCCAAGTTCTCGATAGACTCGTCCGCGTACAGCCTCTGCCAGGTGACCTGCAGCACACCTGGACACCGCCCAGCAAGTCAGCATTTAGACACTGCTCAATGTTTAACCAACGCTCTAGATAACACCAGCTGATCAAATATAATGCAGAGAGATTTAAACCTGGGCTTAACTACACCCAAAATTATCCATGCTTGTGCCAGATTTTGACTTAAAGTGATTTTTTTTTATATTGGCCAATAGGTTTCTTCTGGCTGGAAATGACACAAACAAGTTCTTAAAGAGATGTTATTGAGGAACTTTTCTGTCCAATTTTCTCCATGTTTCACCATCAGGACGGTGTTCTTGGGTTTGAATGTGTCCCATTTTGCCCCCCAATCTCTGGATGCAAATAACTCCAATTTCATCTCATTTAACCTCCGAACTGATAACCAGTGAGCTTTCTTCTTCGTCCAGGTGAGCTTTTGTAATCCAGCTTTAAGAATCCAGCCTGGTCTTGAGATGTTGGTGCCAGAAACCCTCAGATCCATCAGGGTGGTTTTGGTGGTGATCCCCAGACTCTTCTTGGAACCATTTTTGCCAGCGCAGGGGGTCAATTCTAGCTTTCTATCTTGGTCCTTGGAGAACTTTCCATATGACACTCTTGTAGTTTCACTATTTGACTTTACAGCCACAATGTGCAACCTCACCCTTCCCTTTGGTCTTAGTCGTGACTTATAATCAATATAATCAACCTTTAACTGATTAGAAAGCTGCTGTGTCTCAGTTTAAATGGCAATAAAGGACTGTAGAAACTACCAAGCCCATTTGGAGCAGGATAGAAGCTGCATTTTCTTTAAAAACTGGCCCAATTTCAAAAGCTATGAGTAGTTTTAGACATGACTAAATGATTGACATCATTCACATCCTTGTTTGTGTCATTTCCCGCCAGAAGGAAGCTACTGGTCAAATAACACTTAGATCTAAATAACTGTAGTTAAAAATAGGTTTTGTCAGCACCTGTTGGATTATCCACTGCACACCAGTAATGAGCGTCCCCGCCAAACAGAGCTGTGGTGTTTCCATAACCTCTGAGCTGTGAGCCTGAGGCTAAAAATAGAAAATAAAAACAGCCGCGTGTCAGTGAGGGCAGTGAAGTAGTCAGCATTGAATGAACTGGATTAAATACAGAGGGTATTTTCACATTTTCTAACTGTCTTGTCAAGCTTGTTGAATGCAGACATCTTTAAATAAAGCAGCTTTTAAATTAAATGTACATTCATTAGAGGCTAAAGGAAGCTAAAAATGTCACTCACCTCCATGGAGCAAAGAAACAGCCACCAGGATCCACAACATTGTTCCTCCAGTGCAGCCTTGACGAGTGTACTTTCAGTTTTGCCTCTGAGCTGGATTTAAATCCCACAAAATGAAACCTAACAGGGGGGTGGAGACCAGTAAGTCACCACATACTTATCATAAGCTTCACACAAAATGCATCCTCATCCTTTCATTTCTGGAGGCAGGGGCTGGATCTACCGTTATATGACGTTCAATCTGTTGATGAGGCAACAGGAGGGACTGGAACAGGATGACCACACACACCTAAATCTAGTTCCATTTCATCTGAAACACTCGAGCTGTGTTTCCTTCTTTATATCATTACTGCCGTGTTGACAACAACTCCGGTAATCTCAAGTGGTCGAAAAAGCCCCAGAAGCAGAAGTTCGACACGGTTAACCGACTCCCGCCTCTGTTTTTAGGTATTTCACGCTTTGATAAGCGAGTTCACATGGTCATGATGGTAAGTGGGTTCACACACATGTGATGTTGGCGATGTCTTGGTCAAGCCCCCAGACCAACACCGGGAAAGTCCGCCTTTATGAGGGGACAGCAGAAATGTCCGGGGACACACAGTTTGCAGAGTGAAATCAATCAGTTAAAGTTTTTTCTTTCTGTTATTTACTGTTCAAACCAAGTCTCCAGACCTGAATGGATGCCATGAAACAGTCAAGTGTGTTGGAGATGATGATGTGCAGATGGAAAGTGGAGTTAAGACCAGTCAGGAATGAATTAACGAGGTCGGTGACGCTGCTTTCGGGATGTCGGCCGACTTTGTGGGGGACGGAGTCACACTTTCAGACAGCTCTGGATGTCTGAAATGATTTCTTAGACTACAAATGGAGGCGTTTTGGACCTTCAGGTGCCTCAAAGATGCATTTTGTGTGCTGTGTCACAGCTTTAATTCTAGAAATTATAAAAAATAAGAAAGAAAAGTTGAATTTATTTGATTTAAAACCCCAAAAAGCAACTAAATTCCTACAATCCACACAACAGCAACAGGTTTATGTATGTATTGATTCTAGGATTTTAGTTCTTTTGTCAACTTTTCTTTTTTCCAAAAGCCTACAGGTGTTACCGAAAAAAAGAAAAGAAATGGTGGCTCTAGATACTATACATATTTTTCTTTTATTCTATTTATTTCCATATTTGTCTCCTGTTAGCTCTGTGCAAACACGACCTGCAGTTCAGTTCAGAATTTTTTGTGAGGTGACCGTTTGTTGCAGCAGATTCAGTCAAGGATCCTCCGGTGCGTCTTGAAGAGCAGAATTTTTTGTTTTTTACAGAATCCGGATGTAAAAAACTGTTTATTTTTGAAGAATTTATGACTTTGACATGTAGAGTGAAGTGATGTCGATGAAATATCACAATTTTAAGCTTATATTTGGTTCAATTTTGCGAGGAAGCGGCAAAGATGATTAGTTCAAGGACTGTTGGAAAGTTGAAAATCCGGTTAGGTTTAACAGAGTCTGGCTTGGACAAGCAGTGTCACTAAAACTTTGTTTTTTTGCTTTTTAGCCTTTGTTATAGCTTTATTTATTTATTATAGGAAATATTCAAGGATTCAAGGAACTCCATTTGTCATGCGGCTCACATCCACGTTTGTGTACGAAATAAGTACTCAGGTCCCGTTTTTTGAGAACAAATGTAATAAGTACAATAGAACAAGAGCAAAATATGTATGCACTTGGTTGGTCAAAATATTACACATATATGGGTTTCATAGTGCAGTCAGGATGTGATGGAAAGCTACTGTAGCAGAGGATGGTTCAGTAACTTTCCATCACAAACGGGGAGAAGAATGGGAGAGGGATGGTCATGGGCCGGACTCGAACCCACGACCTCTGCAGTGGGGACAACAGCCCCTGTTAATGGGTCGCACGTCCAACTGGTTGAAGCAGGGGTCTCAACCTTGCGGCCAATTGAGGACGATATTTTGTGGCCACCTACTTCCCATCAAAGTTTAGTGTTGGTGCGGCCCATGCGACTCGTTGCCCTGGGCGTTTTATATGTTTTGTCCATTGTGGGCTACCGTAGCTCAGGCTTGTGACAGCAGGTGAAAAGCTCTTCTCCACCACAAACTTTAATAAGTCAAAGTACAGGTCCAGACTTGCTGAGGAGCATCTTCAGGCCACACTGAAGGTCTCAAATGCTTCCTCCCTCGAGCCAAGTGTGGCTCAGCAGTGTTTCAGATCAAACACCCTTGTCTTCCTCACCGACTTCACACCTCAAACTAAATTGCAGAAAGTTAAAAGATCCCCAGAAAAGGGAGCTCACTGATCCGTCCCTGACACTTGTTGCAGACCCACAAACTCCTACATGCATGAATAAATATCAGATTTACCTCATATCATTCTCGTGGTTTTGGATATTATTTGTTTTTAGGGTCTGAGGACAAAACACAGCAGCTCGTCACTCTGCGGATGCACGTGACGCATCCGGCTGTTGCCATGGCGTCCCATTGTTTGGCTTCTTTTCATCCCCTCCCCCTTAATCTGGAACTTGAACTCTTTTGCAGCCTGAATGAAAGAAATCCAACTCTTTAACTCTTTCTATGAGCCAAAAGGAAAGAAACTGACACGCTGCTTTGTTTTCACGTTGAGTCCTGTGTCGGGAACAGTTCTCGTTGAAGCACGTTTCACTTCATTAAACCAACGTCACAACAGAATTCCCTTTTGCTGAATGACGCCATGTTTGGTAACCCTGATACAATCTAGTTGTGTGCAATGTGGCCACATCATGTCCTCTTCCAGCACGTCATCCTGAAACTTAATCAGGAAACAGACCAGCGATTGTTACTGTAAGATAAAGGATGACCTTTCAATGGGTCCTTGAAGTTGTCACCAAATACCGGGAATTGTGGCACACTGGTAGATTTGGTTGGACCTCTGGGTCAACAAGAAGGAACTCCATCATGACTGTGTAGCTTACACAACAGCTTAAAGGGAAGTTTATCACCTAAATTCTTCTAAAAGGTGTCATACGTTAGGAAAGAACCCGATTTATTTCATGCGAGCCTGTGGCCCTGAGTCACGTTTCTAAGAGATAACACAACCTGTGGAATGTGTACACGGCAACTGTAACCAGACTAAATAAACAAGTAAATAAATAAACTGGCTGATGACACAAACACCGTCAGTTTCATTTTTATGCTTTCAAACTTATAAAAGCACGAACCAGTTAGATTACTGAGACAAAAAGCCAGGCAGCGATAATCACCATGTTTCTTTCCATTTAAATATAAAACATCGTCGTACACACCAGGGAAGTACCGATGTTACCTGAAAGCTAATACCTGCCATTTAAAACCAGCACAACAAGCGCAGCTACCCGGCTGCGGTGCAACACGCTATTAAAAGTACCAGCCCTGTAATCTACATTAAACTAGAACGTGGACTATTTTGGTCAGTTCTCGGATTTTCGAGCTTATCACTTCGCAGCAGTTAAAGATAGTCACAGCCTGCCAGTTTCAGGTGTTTTGTATTTTTTTTGGTTTGACAGTTCAGCTTTATAGCTTGAGGGGCTTTTTTATTTTGCTTGACCTGTAATGGCCTTCATCAAATTACACCTATTTGTCAGCATGCAGTGTTTTGCTGACATTAGCGGATTCATTTCCCCTTTATTGCCTTGACAGAATCATTTCAATATCTCCCGTTATGCAGCCCTGCAGCCAAACTGCGATCGACCACCAAAATGATAAAGCACAAAAAGGTAAACAAGCTACGTGCATTCTGAGGAAAAAGTGTCAACAGCTCACCAAACAGCAGGGGCTTTCAGGTCTGAACCAGGTACTTTCACTGGAAAAAAAAAAAAGGGAATGTTAGAGTCAGCAGGGGAACACCAGACAGAAGAACATTTTTTTAGAAAGAAGTCATCGTGTCCAGATTTTTCTTGGACAAAATGAAAAAAAAACATCCTCATTCTTAAAGATGTAATCAAAACATTGAAGCGTGTCGTGCAGACAGACGGTGGATTCATAGATACAAATCATGCAACAGGCACGTCTGCTATGTGACCCTCAGTTCAGAACAAGACAAATTCATGCATGCACATATAAAAAAGAACAAATCCTCAAATTAAAAATAATGCAATTAATGCAACATGGTAGTATAAAACGATGAATCCCACCCAAGAGCAACGACCAACGCAGGCCAGCAGCGTCTATAAAAACCATTCAAGCCCCTTGGAAGTGTTCCCCTGTTATTGCTTTTCAACACTGAATCACAGTCAGTTTAAACTGACCAACAATTAAGCATTAAACCTGTGTTGGTCTCCGTTTTGCACATCTGCTGCAGTTTTAACCACATTTCTTGTTGCTCATGCTCTGTCAGGTGACGCAGAAATCAGGAGTAAACAAGCTCAGCTGCAAGTTCCCAGTTAAACTGAGGTCTGACTTTCAACAAGGGGGAACTCCAGAACATTAACCTCGTTGCATTTGAACTATTTAGATGTGGCTTTGGCTGTTTACTTCAGATCACTGACTTGCTGGAAAACAAATCTTCTCCCAAGTTTCAGTTCTCTTCCAGACCGCATCAGGTTGTCCTGCAGGGTTTCCCTATACTTTGCACCATTACTTTTACCTTTTACAAGCCTTCCAGCCTGCTGACGAAAGCATCGTCGCGTCATAATACTGCCTCCACAATGCTTCAGTCATGATGTTGCCACCACCATGCTTCACTGTGGTGTGTTCGTGATGATGTGTGGTGTTTGGAAATCAAGTCAGATGCTCAAAGATCTCATGTTGTTGTCATCAGACCAAAGAACCTTCTTCCCGTTGACCTTGGCGTGCATCACATGCCTTCTGCTGATTTCAAGTTGAGATTTAATATTAAATTAACTGGCTTTCTCCTTGCGACTCTACCATTAAGCTTTGGCCGGTTAAGAACAGGAAATAGTTCCTATTTCAGCCACTCCAGGTTGGAAGCCCTTCAGAGGAGTCCTGGGTGTCTTGGTGGCCTCCATCCATCACTTTTTGAGATCGACCTGCTCTACACAGATCTACTCGTGTCATATTTCTACTTCAAGGACACTCAGTAACTTGAAAATGTTTCCCTGACTCGTACTTCTCAAAAACTTTTCCATGCAGTTGCTTCCAGTATTGTTTTGCCTTCATGGCGTAGTCATAACCAGCAGTGCTGATTCACCAGTAACCGGACCGTCCAGATATTGATGCCTTTGCACTGCAATCACATGAGGTACAGTCACTGCACTCAGATGAACTCCAGTTAAGTAATGATGCGACATGTAGCACTAACTAGCTGCATCTGTGTAGAATTAGGGAAGTCCCTTTAGAAGGAGGTCAATACTTTTTAGATTTTTTTTTGGTAAGTTCTTGTCAAAAAAGAAAAGCCTGATTAAACAGACCTTGATTCAGTGTTGAAAGCAATAAAAAGGGAAACCTTCCAAAGACAGGTTCATGTTTTCAGACACTGTATACTCACAGGGGAAGGAGATACTTTCCTATCACTGTATATCAAAAACATGCATCGGTTCACATCCGTGTAGAGGAAACACACAGCTAAACAGGCAGAAGAAGCTGGGTGGGTTTGACACGACCAAACCAGGAAGCACATGTTCACATTAAAACAAACACATGACCCAGCAACATTTCCAGCGAACTCATTAGAAAAAAAAAAAAGTGTCAGCAAGTGCAAGGTTAAACAACACACGCCTGTGGTTAGAACAGAAATGAAATCATAAAAAGCCTTACAATCTGTGAGAAGCACTCTCTTCAAGTTGTCTGAGCAGAAGTGTCGGTGTGCTGCAGCTGAGGCTTGTTAAACTAAGCAGTGATCAGACCTGCAAAAGAAAAGGAGGAAACCATCTGACATGAGGCAGTGCTGCAGTCACAACAGCTGAGTTCAGACCAGGTGAAAACATTCAGGTACGCTGATTGTTGTGGGGAGGAGCCTCTTTGGGACGTGAACTACCTGCCACACAGATCCTGGTTCCTCCAGTACAACTATAATTAAAGTCTACTTGAAAATTTAAAGTATTTAAATAAAGAATAATTTCTACCAGTTCAGTCATAGTCACATAGAATGTACATTTACACATCAAGATAATGTTTTAAATAACACTACTTCAATATGAGTTCTTTAAATCACATAAATCAGCTGTGTTGACGTATTATTCACTGAAAATGATTTTGAATCCACAGAACACAAAATGTTTCCACAGTTTTATAGATGAGCCTTATTTCAGGAGAAACGTTATCATTCGAGGATCCATGTTTTCTCTGACTGAAAAGAAACATATGCAGTGTTTTTACAGAATATTTACACACCTAAAGTTTTTATTCATACTGTATGAGGCTCTAAATGTGGATTATCATCACTGAGTCAGTCATGCAGAATAGTGTATGATTGTTGTCAAATGAAAAAAAAATATAATAATACTAATAAAAGATCATTTGCAGCAGTTTGGACACCAAAAAAAATGCTGTAAAATAATAATTAAAATACATTTTTTTGCTTTAATCATTATAATTTTTTTCAGTTTTAAATGTTAAATGACATTTATACAAATAAATATATGGTAAATGGGAATATTTGTTTATAGATTGATAAAATGACATATATAAGGGCTACAAAAAAAATATTCTGACATATTACCAATGCTTGTAGATGATATAAGGTGGTTAAAAAACATTAATTTAGCTTTTCTGTTGTGAAAACAATTTGCAGTTATACAAGATATTTTTCATTTAACCCTAAAAACTGCAAAATTACAGAACAAATAACATTTTTTTCTGTTTAATACCATCAACTGTATTTAATTTTAGAGATATAGCTACAACTATTAAATCTGACTGAAACAGCTTCATTGACTAAATTTGTGTAATCACAATACACCTGTGAATGTGTTCAAATGCACCTTTTTGATGGAAATAAATAAATAAATAAAATTAAAACGTTTGGTTAGTCAGAGATGCTGACTTTTAATATAATCTTATATTAGATTAAAGACAAATTCAACATTTATTTTTTAACATTTCAAAAATAAATCAGCAGGAACCAATAATTCATTGAAAACATAATTTAGTTGCAGCTGCAGTCGGAGCTACTATGAAGTGTTTCAGTGACACCTGGTGGTCATCAGCAGTACTACACAAGAGGCTCCACATCGAATAAAAATGAGGGCTTTAGAAGTGTTCTTAAATCATTTTCAACAGATGTAAATTGTGGAAAATGTACATATTCTTCTAGATAATACAAGTATTCAAATATCTTTTCCGTATTATAAATAAGGGAGCACAACAAAGCAGGGGTGTAACTGTAAATAAAAGTTTACAATAAAAACACGACTCCTCTGCTGCAACAATATTTAATATTAATATTATGTACTGTCAGTTTAAATACAACAACAGGGCAGTTCCTGGATAAAACTTTTGCATAACGATTGAACTTTTGTCCATTTAACTGTAATCTGCCTTTAAAATAATATAAAATATGTTTGTATCAGATGGAATCAATCAAACAGTAATCAGGTCATATCTGAGTCACCGTTTTGTTTTTTAAGGACACAATCAGCTGACTCTGATCATTGTTATATACAAAAAAATACATACATACAATTGCAATTTGCAGATGAATAACAAAGCTTCAGTACATGTCACATTGCTGAATAGAGCCACCTGGTGGACAAAAGCTTGAACTACTCTTGTTGCTCCATTAACAGAACATTAGCTCCACTTGTACTGTACATGACACCGACTTCCTCAAATGCGTGGTTGTATCTTGACAGTGGAGTAGAGGCCACTTCCTGTCTGTCTGTAGGTGCTGTAGGGCTCAATGTCCTGAGAAACCTGCAGAAGAAGACGTGGAATTAGAACAATTAATATTAAAGCTATAATATGAGGAAGGAAGGTTTTTCTGAGCAGTACCGTGTCTGAAGGACAGCTCGCTGATTCTGGCTGTTTTCTGTTGGATAAATGGAGAGAGTCAGTCTGTTTTCACTGCTCCACATAAAAATAAGAGATCAAATCGACACCTGTAGTGCCTTTAATGATTCTTAAAATGACATACGTCTGTGTGTGATGTCATGAGAAGAATTAAGCTGGAAATCATGGAAAGTAGTCGTGACTCACCTGCGGCGGCGTCTTCTGAATATGAATCCCAGAAGAATTAAAGTAACGATGATGACCACACAGCCACCAATCAAAGCATAAGGAGTCATCATTTGTACAGGAGATGCATCCTCTGAATCTTTGGAATGAAAAAAAAAAAAAAGCTTTAAGTCTAAAGAGTTTCTTCTTCATTTAACAGTGAAAACGTCCAATCACAGGTGTTAGAGACTGTCACAATGAAACAAGTCGTACTGAGTCTGTAACCGTGTCTACGCAAGTAGCTGAGTCAACTCAACATTTTGAGTTTATTGAGCTTGTTTTCTTAAGTTCAGTTAATTCGACTGCTCAAAAGACGACTTTGAACTGATTAATCAACCGAAGTGCAGTTAACTCACATTTCTAAGGCGGCAGGGAACTTAGTTTGAAAGCTGAGTGAATTTAAAATGACTTATAGTGTCCAAATCAAAGCTGAGATGGAAAGAAGGTAAAATGTGCTTACCTTCTACTGTGACATTGAGATGGAGAATATATGTTCCTCCATGATAAGAACACTCACAGGTGTAGTTTCCGCTGTCGGCAGGTTCTAAACTGCTCAGGTGGAGAAATACGATCTGATTGTCTTTGATCAGTGAGAATCCGGAGTCACATCCATGTTCAAACTCAAAGTGTCCATGTTTATATAGCAGACGACACTCTTGTCTGTTCCTCTCTGTTCTGATCTTACAAACTATCAGCGTGATGAATGTTTCATTGCTGCATAGTGGAGTAACATCTGCTTCATCCCCAATTGTCTTCACCAGAGTCACTGAAATCAATCAGTTACAATCAACATTAAAAACATCCTGAATGAGCAATTGCTGTAGTTTTGCATTTACAGAAAGTCAAATCAGAAACATTTTGTCTCGTCTTTAAAGCAAAACAACGTGACATTACCTTCGGCATCAACAAACACAGTCAGCGGCAGAAGCAGAAGAAAGCTCAGTTTCAATGCGTCCATTCTGGTTTCAGACTGAACAACTGCTGCAGCAGCTACACAACAGATTGTAGTGATAGGAAGAAGACCGACACACTGAGCTGCTGCACCTCAAACATAAGGAAGTGCGTCCACGCCCCTGATTCTGCTTCATCTTAAGACATGCAACAGGTCAAACAGTGAGCAGACACACAATAGAAAACAGTCAGGCTGCAAATATCTCAATACGTTTATAAGAACTTTTACTTTGGTTTGGAAATCAGATCTAGCAGACTTGTGTTGCTGATGTTGTGCTACAGTAACACAGTGCTGCCTGCATTGATGTTGTCGTTTAGTAAGATTCAGACATCGTGTTTAAACCAACATGTTTGTGGTCTTGACGCTTTTAGAGGCCTGAGCTTTCACTGCAGTTTCCGTTCCTCATCGCTTCATAAGGAAACCAGACTGACCTATATAAATATTATTAAATCAACTTGAAGGTCAGGTAATGGTGAATGTTTAAAAAAAGATCATAGAGTATCTGAAACATGACTGAGAACAAAGTATGTGGGTTAAAAAGGAGGAGTTACATCTCATGTTAACAGGTTCATACAGAGNACGCCCCTGATTCTGCTTCATCTTAAGACATGCAACAGGTCAAACAGCGAGCAGACACACAATAGAAAACAGTCAGGCTGCAAATATCTCAATAAGTTTATAAGAACTTTTACGTCTTGTCTTGTTGGTTTGGAGATCAGATCTAACAGACTTGTGTTGCTGATGTTGTGCTACAGTTACGCAGTGCTGCCTGCACTGATGTTGTTGTTTAGTAAGATTCAGACATCGTGTTTAAACCAACATGTTTGTGGTTTTGATGCTTTTAGAGGCCTGAGCTTTCACTGCAGTTTCCGTTCCTCATCGCTTCATAAGGAAACCAGACTGACCTATATAAATATTATTAAATCATCCAAAAGGTCAGGTAATGGTGAACGTTTAAAAAAGATCATAGAGTATCTGAAACATGACTGAGAACAAAGTATGTGGGTTAAAAAGGAGGAGTTACATCTCATGTTAACAGGTTCATACAGAGTGAAAATGAACAAATCAGTCACGTCCAGTTTAAAGAATTACAGTGTTAAAGCATCTTAGTCTCAAAGATGACACGTTATAATGATCCAACATCTTGAAAAATATGACGCAACATTTTATTAGCATTTTGTTCCCATCATCAAGTGCAAACACAAGTCAGAGTGCAACAGTTAAATACATTTAATTATAGTTCTTTCATCAGTGTAACAAATATCTCTTGTGTACACAGAGGTATGAACTATGAAGCGAGTTTGACATATCCAGCTTTCTTTGTGTAAGTGGGTTTGACAAAAACTAAAGCTCTAGTCAGAGTTTACGGGTATCATGAAGGTTGTTTTCAACTTTCTTTGTCAGCTCAGACTTTCTGCTTCAGACTCTGTTCACATAAAAGGAGGCGTTTAATGCGTCACGTGACTTTTCTTCTGCACAAAATGAAACCATTGTGTGCAGCTCCTTCAGTCAACACGTTGTTTTAAAGGAGAACAATAATGAATATAACAATGTATGACAGCATTAAGCGCTGCAACTGCAAATGGTGGCAGACAGAAATGCTGGTAGAAACCTGTTCAACATGTTCATATATAATATTCCACTGATGCAGCCGCTTATTTCTAACTGACAGCTACACATTAAAGTTAAACTTCATATATTTAAAGATGATATTGAAGTGACTCTGTCCCATAATGCAGGATATCACTTTAATTTTTGGCCAAATCAAAGCAAAATTAATGTTGTTGATTGAATATTCTCTGTAATAAATAATCCATTTTCTGTGTTCTATCACCTGCAGTAGCAGCAGAGTAAACCGACCTGACAGCAAATCAGAGCCAAACATAAAAACATATTTATGTGATTTCTGCATCACCAACTAAATGCATGCCGGGTTCCCATGGCAACCAGTGTTTACAGTGTACGATGCTGTAACTCTCCAGCTTCATTCAGTGATATTAGTCACACACAGCTCAGCATGTTAGCAGATAAAACAGCTGAAAATCTGTATCGTTCTTAAATAATAGTCAGGAAATGATCTGGTTGAAGGGAGACGCTCCTTCCAGTCTATTTAAATCTGAAACTCTGAACATAGCCTGCTCCCAACCAGGTTAGCTCCACAGCATCAGTTACCATGGAGATCTAGCTCCACAGCATCAGTTACCGTGGAGATCTAGCTCCACAGCATCAGTTACCGTGGAGATCTA